TTGATTGATGGTTAAGCTCCTATTTGGAATTATCATCTATTATAGTTTAGATCAACTTTCACTTGCAAATTTCTTAAAATTGATTTAAACAAAGAATTTGAGCATTCAAAGAATGCAGTATTTATCGTAATTTACGTAATTTTTAAAATCGATTCTTAGACATTATACTATATGAAAATTCACTTCTTATCGATTCCAGGCACTTGGAAATCGATTCCAGGCACTAGAATATCAATTCTGGTAGTTTAGCTCAATCTCTAAAGTAAACCTCAATAATCTCTATGCATAATTAAGTTCAAATTCTCAAACTCCTTATATAAACTCGAATCTAATGAAAGTTACAACTTCTAATGCAGTTTTTGTTGAGAGTCAATTTTTGAATTCGATTCTGAGACATTTTTTTATTTGAAAATGCAGTTTTCATCGACTTAAAGCACTTGAAAATCCATTTTAACTCAACCTTCATTCATATTTTGACTGTTTACGATAGCTTGACCTCATCTTTTTAAAGACAATATCCATACATAATTCAAACTTCTTGAATCTTGACTTTTGAGTACCTATTGAATGCAATTTTTGTCGAAATGTACAAAAAATGAATGCAATTTAAACTGTTTCTCTATTGTTATTTAAAAATTCACTCTTTATATCGATTCCAGGCAGTTGAAGTTCGATTTCGATAGTTGAACCCGTCTCTAAAATCTCGATATTTTTTTCCACCGCACACCTCTTATGGAATTTGGAATTTCCGCCAAATTTGACCAAATTCTAGTATGATATAAATTTGACCTTTCTGATCAATACTTATCATTGGCTCAACTCTATCGTATGACTAGTTTTTGGGATGATTAGTGTGTGTATGTTTAATATACATTATGACCTTTTATGACACCTCTATGATAAATGGAGGTCGTTCCACACTATTTAACGTTCGAACTTGGAGAATATGGAGGCCGTTCCACACTATTTACCTTTTGAACATGGAGAATATGATGGAGGCCGTTCCACACTTTTTAATTTTCCAATATGGAGACTATATAGAGGCCGTTCCACACTATTTAACCTTCGAATATGGAGAATATGGAGGCCGTTCCACACTATTTCCTTCTAACATAGAGGAGATGGAGGCCGTTCCACACTGTATTCAGACACGTCTTACTTACGGGCGAACTGATAAATGGAGGCTGTTTCACACTATTTAACCTTCTAACATGGAGGAGATGGAGGTTGTTCCATACTATTTAATCTTTGAACATGGAGGCCGTTCCACACTATTTAACCTTCGAACATGAAGACTATGGAGGCCGTTCCAAACTATTCAACCTTTGAACATGGAGAATATGGAAGCTGTTCCACACTATTTAACCTTTGAACATGGAGGATATGGAGCAGTGTTGCCAGAATTGAAGGATTTCCTTCAATATGAAGGGTTTTGATCTAAAATTTTGACTACTGAAGGATTGAAGGTTTTTATCCGAATTTGAAGGATTTTGAGGTAAATTGTATATTTAGCAAATATTCCAATCATTTTACCAACAAATTTAATTTTTATTGAAATTAATTAATTAATTGTATGAGAATAAATACAGAAGGCCAATTTTCGCTATGCCATTGCGTCAGTTAGTGTGGTGTAGCCCAAGGATAATACCCACACCCACTACTGCTATAGAATAGCCCAGGGCCGTATCTAGGGGGGGATTTGGGGGTTCTACCCCCCCCCCCCCCTCCAAAAAAAAATAATAAAATTCGAAAAATTTAATTTAAAAACAAACAACACTTATTAAATACTTATTTACTTTTTTTTATTTTTATTACTAGTGTAACAATTTTTTTTGCCACTTTGTCTAACCCCCCCAAAATTTCGGTCTAGATACGGCCCTGGAATAGCCTAATCTCATAAGACCTGTGTGGAACAAATCTGAAGACCCCCACCACGTCAAATCGCCAATTGTGACGTGACCAGTATGTACTTTTTTCCCTTGACGTAGGCTGTTTGCACCACAGGTTATGATTCCGCGGGCTTTTGCTTTATGAATACATGGTTTTACTTAATTAATTACCATTCTAAAACTATTTTTTAGATATCGTTGTTCATCTTCCTCTTTGCCTTTAATGTTGATCAAAATTAAATAATATTTTTCATCATAAATTTAAATTCTAAACTACGACCGCTAGTGCAAATACTTGTAGACTTAATTATGACGTCGGAAATGGTGACACACCAATATAGCGGCGATTACCAAAAACGAGGCCACTGAACTGAACAATCCAGTAGTGTGTATTATCCTTGGCTGTATATTAGATTTCAGGTTCAAAATTGACCTGTCTCGTAATCGGCGCGCGCAGCTTGTGACAAGCAGATGAGAAAGTGAAGTTTGTTACGGTATTGCGTCATATTTCTTTACTTATTTCTATTCAGGGTCGAGTTCAGAAGTAATCGTTCCTTCTTTCTTTGTAATGTGTAATTCGACAAAGAGCAAACTAATACTTCACGTATAGGGCAATCCAACGACCTGTCAAAATGGAATTCAAAATGGAGGCCAATGCCTTTTTATCCGGGTTTTCCACTAATAATTTCTTAAACTAAAAACTTTCCATCTTAAGATACGAAAATTATCCTCCCAAACACTAGAAAATCATCTAAAAATACCACAAAAAACAGTTTTTTGATAAAAAAATGTCACGGTTGTGTGAGTTAAATTTATGGCGCCGATTTTTTGGCATTGACTATGCATTGACCGCCATTTTGTTTGGATTGCCCTATTACTTGAGCTGTTTTCTCGCGGTGGAACTGGTTCGACCCGGTTCAATTAGGTTCGAACCTGTACATTCTTGCGTTGAACCAGTGACGTCACATTGAACCTGGTTCAAAAAATTTCGAACCGGACTCATGGCTTGTTCTCCGCTGACATAAGACTGTGGTTAAAACCTTCCATTTTCTCGCGTTCACAAGTGATGACGTCATCTACAAATTGGTTTAAACCGGGGTTTAAACCGTAGTTCGAAACATTCGCCCCGCGAGAAAACGCCTTTGAACTCACCGCAGTGTCGTTTGGTTATGTTAAGATTCATTAGTCCTTTTCACGTGGTCCCGTTTAAACTAACCGGGCTAGAAAACGGTTAGTAGCGGTATGTCAAGTATGACATACCGTTTTCTAACAGGCATTATTCTTGACTTTACCTAGGTAGAAAATTTGATATTGTTAACAGTTAATGCACTGTTTAATTGTCAACACAGTCAAATTTTCTCTCGAGAGAAAGTCAAGAATAAGGTCTTAGTGCAAACGATGTTAACATACACTTTAAAGCTGTTCTTTTGTCTGATTTAAGGCGTTGTGAAACACTTGACATTATTTCACTTCTTTAATGTTATAATGTTCGATTTGTATTGTCTACATTTGTCCTCCAACAATACAATCTGGCTATACTGTAGCCACGAGTGCCGCGCGCATGTCATCTTTTACTACTTTCTAACTTGTATTTATTACAATTAAGTTCTCTTTTTCTATTCCTGCGAGACACGTCAATTCAATGAAAAAATTTCGTTCATGTTATAGTGTTTTTTTTTTCTGGTGAAATATTTCGTTGTGCCGGCCATCCGCCAGTATTTTGAAGGATATGAAGGGTTTTAGCCAATAAGTTGAAGGAATGTCGTCAGAAAACTCTGGTAACACTGATATGGAGGCCATTTCATACGATTTAACCTTCGAACATGGAGAATATGAAGGTCGTTCCACAATATTCAACCTTCTAATATAGAGGAGATGAAGGCTGTTCCACACTGTATTCAGACACGCCCTACAGGCGAACTGATAAATGGGGGCCTTTCCACACTATTAAACCTTCTAACATGGAGAAGATGGAGGCCGTTCCACACTATTTAACCTTCAAACATGGAGGAGATGGAGGCCGTTCCACACTATTTAACCTTTGAACATGGAGAATATGGAGGCTGTTCCACACTGTATTCAGACTATATATTTTCACTCTTGATAAATATTTCTATACTCAATGGTTTGGGTTGTAACACTCTGTATCTTATTTTTCTTGGTTACAAAATCTCTAGAATAATTTAAAAAAAACTGGTGGAAGTCCAAAATCCCATAAGAAGTGTTCGGGGTCCTTGGGTTAAAAGTTTAAAATCTTTACCCCTTGTAATTCCGATAGTTTTGGTCCAATATTCGAAAATTTTGACATTGTTATAAAAATTTAAATATGTCAAACTTGAATATGAACGGAAAACTAAGTTTTTCCATGGCCTACTAAGGCTTCTAAGGCAAAACTTTCAAATTATACTAAAATTAACCAACAAAACTGAAGAAGCCGTTATACCGACAATCTCTTCAGTCAAAATTACCTACAGCTTTAAATCATAATTATTGCAAGCTCAAAACCAGCACAATTTAAAAGGTTAGAAGATTTAATAACCATCTTTAAATTAGATTGGAGGATTTAAGCAATCAAGCCTACTAGATTTAACCCTGTTATATATTTACCTCTTTCTCTATTGAACATAAACAAAGATGCAATGAAAGTAGGATAAGGCAAAGATATTATCTTTTGTACGATAATTTCACCATACAGGTAAATTAGTGGTTAAGATAATAAATTCATAATTTATGGTAATTTTGATTTTAAATGCACTATAATAATGTCGAAATTTCTTCTCTGGAATCAAACGCTTCCAGATACGAAATAAATCAAATATCGTGACTGATTTTTGTCTTGTAAGGTTGATTGCACTTTGCTTCAACAATATAAGAATAAATATTTCTAAGAAATGGAAATCATTTCATAAATCTCTGCAAGAAGAATAAACAAAAATTTGACGTCATACATTTAAAAATGTCTTCAAGGTAAAGTATCGTGGGTCAAAGTACGCCCAGTGGCGGTCAATTTTCTTATAGAAAAAAACCAAACGAGAGGGTAGGGGGCCTGGTCTAACGCATTTATGACAAAACTACACAAAACCCAATAAATATAGTCAAAATACAGAACCGCCGTCTAGAAGAAATAGTAACCGATTTTTGACTAATCGCGCACCGGGTACCATAATACCTTCTGGTGGTACCCATACCCGTTACCATACCGAATCTTGTGTTTATTTGATAATAAGGCGGACTCAAGTGAGAGTGAATTTTTGTGTTTAGATTTTATTCATAAAAAAAATTATATAATGGATTTGTTTGCCGAAAATATTAAGGGGTTTGTGCTGGAAGAGCAAGCTTTCTGGATGAACGTTTCACAATTTCCTAATATGACAATACAGGTAATAATTGGAACAAAAAAAAAATTTGATTTAATTTATAATTTTCTTATCAACTCAAATCTATAATGAAAGTTCCAACTTTAAATGCAATAATTTGTAAAATCGATTTTATCATTTGGAAATGTATTGTATATATGTTAAACTCCTGTCTGAAGTCAACTTGCGTAATTTTGAAACTCAACTTTGTGATATTTTTATTTTGATTCACTTTATATCGATTCCAGGGACTTGAAAAACTGATTTCGATAGTCAAGCTCATCTGAAAAAACAAAAGCCACAATTGAAACTTGAATTTAATGAAAGTTCCAACTTGTTAGAACTCAATTTTTGAAATCGATTCTAAGACACTTCACTATTTGAAAATACCTATTTTATCGATTCTCCCTTGGAAAATGTTCAAACTTTAATGAAAGTTCCAACTTTTGATGGATTTTATCATTTGGAAATGAATTTTTTCTGAATTCCAGGCATTTCAAAATCGATTTATGTCACCCTCCATAATTTGTGAAGTCAACTTTGTAAGATTTTCAATTTAATTCACTTTGTATCAATTCCAGGCACTTAAAAATCGATTTCAATACTTAAACTCATCATCCAAAAGCAATTTCCCTAATTCAAAAATTAAGTCTCACTTTCTTAATTTAGTAAAAATTATTAATTTACAAAAAAGGTGATTTGTTTACATAAGTAAACAAATCTATTGTTAAAAATCATTGCGATATAATCAAATGACAAAATTTGTAGAGCGTGCTATTTTAACAATTGCACATTGTTAATTTAAATCGAAAATCATCTTAAAAAACGGTCCTCATTACGCTATTTTTGGGGTGTTTCGCAAAAAAAAAATACCCAAACTGTATTCTTGTTTATACGTTGTGCTGCAACTTTAAACAAATTTGAATAATAATATTATTATTATTCAAGAACCGTAATTTACTTAAAATAAATTTAACGTGAAAAGATGATTATCTTTAATGGTGCATCATCATTGTTGTTTTGTGCAGAAGTTGATTTTTTCTTCATTTCTTATTTCATAAAGAAAAACTCAAAATAAGGAAAATTCTGGACAGTCTTGAAAACTATATGTTTATTTTAAGTTAAGATTTCTATGATTTCATAATAAGAGTAGGTATTAAGAGTTAAAACACTTAAGTATATTGTAAATTTAAACATCCTTTGCCTTGACTCAAAAGCAGACGATGAGTGTCTTCATCATTTTACCTAAATACATTAGAATAAAATTGCTTCTAGACAAAAAAGCAAGGTCCCTCGATATAGAAAAACGGTTAAAATTACGAAATTGAATAATAATATTGGCTATAATTTCCTTTTGATGACAGAGTTAAGTACAGTTTGATGACAAAACGTAATAGGGTTTAATGTCGCCGAAAAATTCTCTTAATTGATTTCGAGTAAATAGTTTATAAAACTTATTAAAAAATCGAGGAAATCATTTCTCAAAGGTCAAAATATTTAATTTGTTTATTGATTTAATAAGTATTTGTTATTTTTTTTTGACGCAATTGATGTAACATAACTAACCCAACATAACATTTTTAATTTGACTAATAAATGGTATAAAACTACTGGAGATTTTTAATAAATTATTATTAATTAAAAACCGTATGAAATAAAATTTTAAATATAAATTTGGCAACATTTAAAAGGAATCAAAAATTGATTTATAGCTTTAATAAGTGTAATTTTTATTATTAATTTTTCATTTAAATTGTGCAATCAAGTTTGTAATAATTAAACGAAAATCTTATTTGAATAATTACTATTGTTGAGAAATATATGAACGATAAATTATTTAATTGCCTATTATAGGGGATTTTTAATAATTTTTAATAATTGGGTACCTACTTATTAATTATTATTTTTTTGTTATAAAAAAGTTATAACCTTTCAAAGGTTTCCAAAATCTAAATCATAAGGACCTCAATACTAGAACGATGAATTTTTTTTTTTCAAAGATTTGGTGTCTTTTAATGGTATCCCCAAACTCCATACCTACACTATATTATTTTTAGATTTGAAGATGAAATCTATGAAAAAAGGCACTCAGAATAATTGAAAAATTGATAAATCACCCCAAATTGCTTAACAAGATTTTATCTCAGGAACTACAGGTCCAAATGAATTGAAATTTTCAGGGATTGTAGTCCTCTATTACAATAAGAATCGCTAAAAATTTCAACTTTTTATCTTAAATAGAAAAAAAGTTATGACCTTCAAAGTTTTTTAAAATCTACATCATAAGGTAGGTCCCTTCTTACTAAAACGATGAAATTTCAAATTTTTTTGTGTGGAAATTGTGTGTCCTAATGGTCATTTGTGATCCCCCAAACTCCATACACTAAATTATTCTCAGATTTGGAGCTGAAATCTATGAAAAAAGGCACTCAGAAAAATTGAAAAATTGATAAATCACCCCAAATTACTTAACACGATTTTATCTCGGGAATATAGGTCCAGAAGAGTTGAAATTTTCAGGGATTGTATCCTCTATTACAATAAAAATCGCTGAAAATTTCAGCTTTCTATCTTCAATAGAAAAAAAGTTATAACCTTCCAAAGTTTTCCAAAATCTGCATCATAAGGTAGGTGGTACCTTCTTACTAAAACGATGAAATTTCAATTTTTTTTTGTGGAGATTTTGTGTCCTAATGGTCATTTGTGAACCCCCAAACTCCATACACTAAATTATTCTCAGATTTGGAGCTGAAATCTATAAAAAAAGGCACTCAGAAAAATTGAAAAATTGATAAATCACCCCAAATTACTTAACACGATTTTATCTCGGGAATTATAGGTCCAGAAGAGTTGAAATTTTCAGGGATTGTAGTCCTCTATTACAATAAAAATCGCTGAAAATTTCAGCTTTCTATCTTCAATAGAAAAAAAGTTATAACCTTACAAAGTTTTCCAAAATCTGCATCATAAGGTAGGTACCTTCTTACTAAAACGATGAAATTTCAATTTTTTTTTGTGGAGATTTTGTGTCCCTATGGTCATTTGTGAACCCCCAAACTCCATACACTAAATTATTCTCAGATTTGGAGCTGAAATCTATGAAAAAAGGCACTCAGAAAAATTGAAAAATTGATAAATCACCCCAAATTACTTACAACGATTTTATCTCGGGAATTATAGGTCCAAAAGAGTTGAAATTTTCAGGGATTGTAGTCCTCTATTACAATAAAAATCGCTGAAAATTTCAGCTTTCTATCTTCAATAGAAAAAAAGTTATAACCTTCCAAAGTTTTCCAAAATCTGCATCATAAGGTAGGTACCTTCTTACTAAAACGATGAAATTTCAATTTTTTTTTGTGGAGATTTTGTGTCCTAATGGTCATTTGTGATCCCCCAAACTCCATACACTAAATTATTCTCAGATTTGGAGCTGAAATCTATGAAAAAAGGCACTCAGAAAAATTGAAAAATTGATAAATCACCCCAAATTGCTTGACACGATTTTATCTCAGGAACTATAGGTCCAAATGAGTTGAAATTTTCAGGGATTGTAGTCCTCTATTACAATAAAAATCGCTGAAAATTTCAGCTTTCTATCTTCAATAGAAAAAAAGTTATAACCTTCCAAAGTTTTCCAAAATCTGCATCATAAGGTAGGTACCTTCTTACTAAAACGATGAAATTTCAATTTTTTTGTGTCCTAATGGTCATTTGTGATCCCCCAAACTCCATACACTAAATTATTCTCAGATTTGGAGCTGAAATCTATGAAAAAAAGCACTCAGAAAAATTGAAAAATTGATAAATCACCCCAAATTACTTAACACGATTTTATCTCGGGAATTATAGGTCCAGAAGAGTTGAAATTTTCAGGGATTGTAGTCCTCTATTACAATAAAGATCGCTGAAAATTTCAGCTTTCTATCTCCAATAGAAAAAAAGTTATAACCTTCCAAAATTTTCCAAAATCTGCATCATAAGGTAGGTACCTTCTTACTAAAACGATGAAATTTCAATTTTTTTGTGTCCTAATGGTCATTTGGGATCCCCCAAACTCCATACACTAAATTATTCTCAGATTTGGAGCTGAAATCTATGAAAAAAGGCACTTAGAAAAATTGAAAAATTGATAAATCACCCCAAATTACTTAACACGATTTTATCTCGGGAATTATAGGTCCAAAAGAGTTGAAATTTTCAGGGATTGTAGTCCTCTATTACAATAAAAATCGCTGAAAATTTCAGCTTTCTATCTTCAATAGAAAAAAAGTTATAACCTTCCAAAGTTTTCCAAAATCTGCATCATAAGGTAGGTACCTTCTTACTAAAACGATGAAATTTCAATTTTTTTTTGTGGAGATTTTGTGTCCTAATGGTCATTTGTGAACCCCCAAACTCCATACACTAAATTATTCTCAGATTTGGAGCTGAAATCTATGAAAAAAAGCACTCAGAAAAATTGAAAAATTGATAAATCACCCCAAATTACTTAACACGATTTTATCTCGGAAATTATAGGTCCAAAAGAGTTGAAATTTTTAGGGATTGTAGTCCTCTATTACAATAAAAATCGCTGAAAATTTCAGCTTTCTATCTTCAATAGAAAAAAAGTTATAACCTTCCAAAGTTTTCCAAAATCCGCATCATAAGGTAGGTACCTTCTTACTAAAACGATGAAATTTCAATTTTTTTGTGTCCTAATGGTCATTTGTGATCCCCCAAACTCCATACACTAAATTATTCTCAGATTTGGAGCTGAAATCTATGAAAAAAAGCACTCAGAAAAATTGAAAAATTATTAAATCACCCCAAATTACTTAACACGATTTTATCTCGGGAATTATAGGTCCAGAAGAGTTGAAATTTTCAGGGATTGTAGTCCTCTAATACAATAAAAATCGCTGAAAATTTCAGCTTTCTATCTCCAATAGAAAAAAAGTTATAACCTTCCAAAGTTTTCCAAAATCTGCATCATAAGGTAGGTACCTTCTTACTAAAACGATGAAATTTCAATTTTTTTTTGTGGAGATTTTGTGTCCTAATGGTCATTTGTGAACCCCCAAACTCCATACACTAAATTATTCTCAGATTTGGAGCTGAAATCTATGAAAAAAAGCACTCAGAAAAATTGAAAAATTGATAAATCACCCCAAATTACTTAACACGATTTTATCTCGGGAATTATAGGTCCAGAAGAGTTGAAATTTTCAGGGATTGTAGTCCTCTAATACAATAAAAATCGCTGAAAATTTCAGCTTTCTATCTCCAATAGAAAAAAAGTTATAACCTTCCAAAGTTTTCCAAAATCTGCATCATAAGGTAGGTACCTTCTTACTAAAACGATGAAATTTCAATTTTTTTGTGTCCTAATGGTCATTTGGGATCCCCCAAACTCCATACACTAAATTATTCTCAGATTTGGAGCTGAAATCTATGAAAAAAGGCACTCAGAAAAATTGAAAAATTGATAAATCATCCCAAGTTACTTAACACGATTTTATCTCGGGAATTATAGGTCCAAAAGAGTTGAAATTTTCAGGGATTGTAGTCCTCTATTACAATAAAAATCGCTGAAAATTTCAGCTTTCTATCTTCAATAGAAAAAAAGTTATAACCTTCCAAAGTTTTCCAAAATCTGCATCATAAGGTAGGTACCTTCTTACTAAAACGATGAAATTTCAATTTTTTTGTGTCCTAATGGTCATTTGTGATCCCCCAAACTCCATACACTAAATTATTCTCAGATTTGGAGCTGAAATCTATGAAAAAAGGCACTCAGAAAAATTGAAAAATTGATAAATCATCCCAAATTGCTTAACACGATTTTATCTCAGGAACTACAGGTCTAAATTAATTGAAATTTTCAGGGATTGTAGTCCTCTATTACAATAAGAATCGCTAAAAATTTCAGCTTTCTATCTTTAATAGAAAAAAAGTTATGATCTTCCAAAATCTACACTATAAGGTAGGTACCTTCTTACTAAAACGATGAAATTTGAAATTTTTTTTGTGAGGATTTTGTGTCCTAATGGTCATTTGTGATCCCCCAAACTCCATACACTAAATTATTCTCAGATTTGGAGCTGAAATCTATGAAAAAAGGCACTCAGAAAAATTGAAAAATTGATAAATCATCCCAAATTGCTTAACACGATTTTATCTCAGGAACTACAGGTCTAAATTAATTGAAATTTTCAGGGATTGTAGTCCTCTATTACAATAAGAATCGCTAAAAATTTCAGCTTTCTATCTTTAATAGAAAAAAAGTTATGATCTTCCAAAATCTACACTATAAGGTAGGTACCTTCTTACTAAAACGATGAAATTTGAAATTTTTTTTGTGAGGATTTTGTGTCCTAATGGTCATTTGTGATCCCCCAAACTCCATGCACTAAATTATTCTCAGATTTGGAGCTGAAATCTATGAAAAAAGGCAGTTGAAATTTTCAGTGATTGTAGTCCTCTATTACAATAAAAATCGCTGAAAATTTCAGCTTTCTATCTTCAATAGAAAAAAAGTTACAACCTTCCAAAGTTTTCCAAAATCTGCATCATAAGGTAGGTAGGTACCTTCTTACTAAAACGATGAAATTTCAATTTTTTTTTGTGGAGATTTTGTGTCCTAATGGTCATTTGTGATCCCCCAAACTCCATACTCCAAATGAGCTGAAACTTTTAGGGATTGTAGCTCTCTACTGGAATAAGAATCGCTGAAAATTTCAGCTTTCTATCTTTAATTTAAAAAAAGTTATTATTCAAAATATAATGAAAAAATATTTCAAGATAAAATGAGAAGAAAACTATGGAAACTTATGAAAAAAATCATTATCCGAAAAATACGAGTGTAAAAACGCTTATATTATAGTAGGACGAGAATTTGAAATTTCCCATGATATTCTGCACAAAATCCTAAAGTCTCATTATACTCTAGAAATCTACAGATTTTTAAAATAGCTTGCAAATCGAAAGCCTTAAAATCTTCAAAGTTGAACTTGATTTATCTATTTTGTGAAACAGCAAAGATTTCTCAGTGCGTCTATATTTCAAAATCCTGAATCTTGAAAGCCTTGAATTTTTCAGTCTTAAGTCACAAGAGGTCACTTCTCAAGATTTTCGAAATATTCAAATCAAGAGCCTGGTTTTTGAATTATTATACATTTTTTTATTCTATTAGGCTCTTGGTACCCATTCATTATTTTTCTTCATTCTAGGCTCTTAAATTTGTCAATAAGAAAATTCTTGTTTATAGGTACATTTTTCATTTTTCGACGTCTTCAGATTCTTCAGGCTTGTCAGCCTTAAAACAGCCGAGTTTTTTAATCTTAAAATCTTGAGTCTTTAAACGCTTAAGAATCTTTGGAGTCTTAAGTTACAGGCTCTTGATTTTTCTTACTTCTTTATTCTAGGCTTGGCTCTTGAATTTGTCACATTTTCTCAATTTTTAACTCTTGAAATTTCGTTAGATCAGATCTTTTATTCCAGGATTTTAAATTACAGTTCCTTAAGAAGCCTAATAAAAATTGACTGCTCGATACAAATTTAAAATTGAAATTTTCATGAAAAAAGTACAATTTTTAAGTTGAATGTGAAAAAAATTCTTTACTTTGCATTCTCCGCACTTGTTAGGAAATAGAATAGTAAATCTCTTATGTTGAACACACAAAATTTGAAATTGGATGCTGATGGAAATACATCATTACTTTTTGTATAGGAAAGAGAAACTACAAAAATTGGCTCAGAAGAACGAAAAAAGGAAAATATTAAACGAGTTCAGAGGGAAAATGGTGAATTTACATCTCGATCAGATTGAAATCTTTCAACCCTAATTTCCATGCTTTGTTATATTTACAATCATAGTTATGTAATGTTCCCTATGTGAATAGAAATAACTGAATGAAAAACTAAAAGATTAATTTCAGTCCTCAATTGCGAAAAGTTTGTTCATTCAAAATTAGAAAAAATTTGGTGTCTAATTATCAAGTAAAAACCACAAACTCATATGCAACAAAATAACATAAATTACATTTCCACCTACTTAATTACCAGGCAGAGGAAACACACGCATGTAATTAGATTTTTGTGTACCTAATACAGCATTTTGTTTTATTTTCAGGATCTTCCATTCCTCGCCCGATTAATGGCCGAAAGATACGTCGACGGTTTCTTCAAAATAAGCGGTAAGTTACTAAAAATATTATTAAAATGCCAAAGAGTCAAGGTGTCTGGATTGTTATCTAGTCTATGAAGCTTTTTCTTTAATTAATGCTAATTTTAACTTTAAACGAAAAAATAATTCGATTTCCAAGGTTGACAACCTGAAACTTGTATACTTAACAATTGATGATAGAAGAAGATCGTATATCTATTGAAGCAGCTGGTTGATTTGTTAATTATTTTACTAGTTGAATATAAAATTTGTTTGATGTTGAGGTTTTTCCCCAAAAAAGCAAACATTCTGTGTAATAAAATTTTGGCTATGACAGGGAATTGAAAAATCAATTCATATAAAAACAAGGACAAGTTATTATTTTATCCACAGACTTTTTTGTCTTTGAACCAACTAAAATAAAATTTGTTCCAGATCCCAGAACATCAAACTGGCCCTTAATGAACAATCCGATCCCTACAATTCTAATGGTACTAACTTATCTCTATGTAATCATGTTTCTTGGTCCGCGTCTAATGGCAAATCGGAAACCTTTCAAGCTCAGAGAGGTGCTGGTCGTTTACAATGGTTTCCAAGTATTACTGAGTTCGTATATGATGTATGAGGTAAGAATATAATTAGCTGAGAAATTGAAAATCATTGTCGCACCTTATTAACATGTCGCTAACTAATTATACCTATATTATAAGGGGAATCATCATTCTCAAAACATAAATTATTAGCTGTAAATTTTATTTTCCTATAGTGGAGTCCAAAATGCTAATTATTTTAGAAAATTACAACAATTAATTTATTTTGCCCGGAAAATCTATTAACTATTTTTTTTGGTACCTTTTTAATAATAATTATAAATTTGTTATGAACATTAAGACATAAATTAATTTCAATAAATAAAACGTGGCGAATTTTTTTGACGTCAACCAAATTATTAATTATAATAATTATAGGGACAACATTATGACAATCTGAATATCGATTATTAATTTTTTGGTAATAGATAATTATTACTGATGATGAAAATATTTCCTGGTAGAGGAAAAATCTTGAAGGTAAAATAGTATCTATTATAATAATGATAATTACAAACTTACGCAAATAAATAATATATAGTAATGTATTTCTTGTTTAATAAATGAATGAAATTACCTTTAATAACTGTTTTTTGAACGTGAACTTTTTCGATTTTTATAATATTCTAACTTGATTTGTATTAGTTATAATTACCAGGCAGAAGTGTCTCATTAATAGTTGGCAGTTAAAGTAAAAAAATTTCATTTTTCTTTATCATAGTAGGATTTTGATATGAGTATTGTTTAGCTGTCAACTGTCAAAATCTGATTGCAAAACGTCTCAGGACTTTTCTCAAAACAATATCGACTCTCAACTTTCAATCCAATCTCAATGTAATTAGGCTCAAATTAAAGTAAATTTCTAGTACTTCTAAATCTTCTTTTAATTTAAGTCAACTTTGAAGCTTTATTATCCTAAAAACCAATTTATAAGAACAATCAATCAACCAACAATAAACAAATCCTATTTGTATTCAACAAACAATCAAAACAAAAAGTAGTGCTTTCTCTCATTGATGCTATAACAAAAACAATATAGTAACCTTGACAATGACTAAAAAATTTGCTTATCTAACCGAAAAACCTCAACCGTGCCTTATGAGCTTTCACTATTTTACTCACTCCTTGACATTGACAAAAGAAAGACCTACTTTGCTGATTTTATGTAATTTTCTTCGTGCCGCATGTCCTTGTTACGAACGTCCTTCGGAGAGAAAGCGCGATTCGTTTATTAATAAATGCCCGGGCACAAGAGAGATAATTACAATAAACGGCACCTGTTGTTTGGTTTTAGTACAGGCGCCTACCATATAAATCTAGAACCATCATTTTGTCAAAGTTATATTGATGGAAATTGTCCGGAAAACATTTCATGTATTGATAAATATCGATGCATACATACATCCTACTATCCTACTAGTCAAAGAATTTCGATATAAATATCATGCCCATACATTTTTTTTCTTGAATAATATTCATATATCGTTAAATATTGATGCATAGGAATCATCCTACTATATGATATATACAAATAGGAATAGAGTTAGAATTTTCTATAGGTAAAGTCTGTTTTTTTTTAAAGATTATTCCACTCATGTGTTAGAAATCCCATAAGAGAAGTGACGATTTTCAGAATTACAGCGAAAATTCTCTTTTCCATTTGTTTAACTAGATAGAATTACAGCGATAATTCTCCCATCTTATTGTATACATGGTTGTCATGCTAATTTTTGATACAAACAAACGGTTCCTGATAGTAACCATTTATTTGTATTGATTGTTAAGATGTTCAAATCGTTAACTACATATTTATTTCCATATTTTTTGCATTCTTATACGTGAAATAATCCTCTAAATACCACTGGAGATTTAAAATGAACCAGATAATTTTTCACTCATGCGTGTTTTCTCTGCAAATTTCACTCGTCCTACGGACTCGTGAAATTATAGAAAACACGCAATCGTGAAAAATTATCGGTAATTTTGAAGCTCTCGTGGTATTATCCCCGATAATTCCCCAAGTCAAAAATTTAGTAACTATGTTGGCAGTACAAGCCTTTTCTACATAAAAAAAAAACAGGCTTTACTTTATTAAAAATATAATTTCGTTGTTGCCAAATTTCTTTTGGGCCTGCACATTTTCAAATTTTACATACGACGTTTCATTTACGAGAAACCCTCATCAATTTTAGTTTATTTGATATGACCCTGGAATTTTTTTCATATTTTTTAGTAGGTAGCTTTTCAACGATATGCAACTTTTGTAAAAATAATCATCGTTTGTGCTCAGTAATGTGATAATGTTATAATCATTGGTAATCTGAGTTGGGCTTCAGGCTATTCAAGATCCAGAAAAGAAGAGTTTCACGAAATTCTGAGTTCTGATCTATGAAAATTCTAAACAAATTATTATTTCTGGAACTATAAATTCAAACGAGCTGAAACTTTCAGGGATTGTAGTCTTCCACTTAGATAAGAATCGCTGAGAATTTCAGATTTCTATCTATAATAGAAAAAAAGTTATGACCTTTCAAAGTTTTCCAAAATCCAAATCATAAGGTAGGTACCTTCTTACTAAAACGATGAAATTTCAAATTTTTTTTTGTCGAGATTTTGTATCCTAATGGTCAATCAACATACCCCAAACTCCATACACTAAATTATTCTCAGATTTGAAGCCGAAATCTATGAAAAAAGACACTCAGAAAAATTGAAAAATTGATAAATCACTCCAAATTGCTTAACACGATTTTATCTCAGGAACTATAAGTGCAAATGAGCTGAAATTTTTAGGGATTGTAGTCCCTTGATTGGGATAAAATTCAGTGAAAGTTTCAGCTTTCTATTTATAATAGAAAAAAAGTTATCACCTTTCAAAGTTTCCCAAAATCCAAATCATAAGGTAGGTACCTTCTTACTAAAACGATGAAATTTCAATTTTTTTTTTGTCAAGATTTTGTATCCCAATGGTCAATCAACATACCCCAAACTCCATACACTAAATTATTCTCAGATTTGAAGCCGAAATCTATGAAAAAAGGCACTCAGAAAAATTGAAAAAATTAATAAATCACCCCAAATTGCTTAACACGATTTTATCTCAGGAACTATAAGTGCAAATGAGCTGAAATTTTTAGGGATTGTAGTCCCTTGATTGGGATAAAATTCAGTGAAAGTTTCAGCTTTCTATTTATAATAGAAAAAAAGTTATCACCTTTCAAAGTTTCCCAAAATCCAAATCATAAGGTAGGTACCTTCTTACTAAAACGATGAAATTTCAATTTTTTTTTTGTCAAGATTTTGTATCCTAATGGTCAATCAACATACCCCAAACTCCATACACTAAATTATTCTCAGATTTGAAGCCGAAATCTATGAAAAAAGACACTCAGAAAAATTGAAAAATTGATAAATCACTCCAAATTGCTTAACACGATTTTATCTCAGGAACTATAAGTGCAAATGAGCTGAAATTTTTAGGGATTGTAGTCCCTTGATTGGGATAAAATTCAGTGAAAGTTTCAGCTTTCTATTTATAATAGAAAAAAAGTTATCACCTTTCAAAGTTTCCCAAAATCCAAATCATAAGGTAGGTACCTTCTTACTAAAACGATGAAATTTCAATTTTTTTTTTTGTCAAGATTTTGTATCCCAATGGTCAATCAACATACCCCAAACTCCATACACTAAATTATTCTCAGATTTGAAGCCGAAATCTATGAAAAAAGACACTCAGAAAAATTGAAAAATTGATAAATCACTCCAAATTGCTTAACACGATTTTATCTCAGGAACTATAAGTGCAAATGAGCTGAAATTTTTAGGGATTGTAGTCCCTTGATTGGGATAAAATTCAGTGAAAATTTCAGCTTTCTATTTATAATAGAAAAAAAGTTATCACCTTTCAAAGTTTCCCAAAATCCAAATCATAAGGTAGGTACCTTCTTACTAAAACGATGAAATTTCAATTTTTTTTTTGTCAAGATTTTGTATCCTAATGGTCAATCAACATACCCCAAACTCCATACACTAAATTATTCTCAGATTTGAAGCCGAAATCTATGAAAAAAGACACTCAGAAAAATTGAAAAATTGATAAATCACTCCAAATTGCTTAACACGATTTTATCTCAGGAACTATAAGTGCAAATGAGCTGAAATTTTTAGGGATTGTAGTCCCTTGATTGGGATAAAATTCAGTGAAAGTTTCAGCTTTCTATTTATAATAGAAAAAAAGTTATCACCTTTCAAAGTTTCCCAAAATCCAAATCATAAGGTAGGTACCTTCTTACTAAAACGATGAAATTTCAATTTTTTTTTTGTCAAGATTTTGTATCCCAATGGTCAATCAACATACCCCAAACTCCATACACTAAATTATTCTCAGATTTGAAGCCGAAATCTATGAAAAAAGACACTCAGAAAAATTGAAAAAATTAATAAATCACCCCAAATTGCTTAACACGATTTTATCTCAGGAACTATAAGTGCAAATGAGCTGAAATTTTTAGGGATTGTAGTCCCTTGATTGGGATAAAATTCAGTGAAAGTTTCAGCTTTCTATTTATAATAGAAAAAAAGTTATCACCTTTCAAAGTTTCCCAAAATCCAAATCATAAGGTAGGTACCTTCTTACTAAAACGATGAAATTTCAATTTTTTTTTTGTCAAGATTTTGTATCCCAATGGTCAATCAACATACCCCAAACTCCATACACTAAATTATTCTCAGATTTGAAGCCGAAATCTATGAAAAAAGGCACTCAGAAAAATTGAAAAAATTAATAAATCACCCCAAATTGCTTAACACGATTTTATCTCAGGAACTATAAGTGCAAATGAGCTGAAATTTTTAGGGATTGTAGTCCCTTGATTGGGATAAAATTCAGTGAAAGTTTCAGCTTTCTATTTATAATAGAAAAAAAGTTATCACCTTTCAAAGTTTCCCAAAATCCAAATCATAAGGTAGGTACCTTCTTACTAAAACGATGAAATTTCAATTTTTTTTTTGTCAAGATTTTGTATCCTAATGGTCAATCAACATACCCCAAACTCCATACACTAAATTATTCTCAGATTTGAAGCCGAAATCTATGAAAAAAGACACTCAGAAAAATTGAAAAATTGATAAATCACTCCAAATTGCTTAACACGATTTTATCTCAGGAACTATAAGTGCAAATGAGCTGAAATTTTTAGGGATTGTAGTCCCTTGATTGGGATAAAATTCAGTGAAAGTTTCAGCTTTCTATTTATAATAGAAAAAAAGTTATCACCTTTCAAAGTTTCCCAAAATCCAAATCATAAGGTAGGTACCTTCTTACTAAAACGATGAAATTTCAATTTTTTTTTTGTCAAGATTTTGTATCCCAATGGTCAATCAACATACCCCAAACTCCATACACTAAATTATTCTCAGATTTGAAGCCGAAATCTATGAAAAAAGACACTCAGAAAAATTGAAAAATTGATAAATCACTCCAAATTGCTTAACACGATTTTATCTCAGGAACTATAAGTGCAAATGAGCTGAAATTTTCAGGGATTGTAGTCCCTTGATTGGGATAAAATTCAGTGAAAATTTCAGCTTTCTATTTCTAATAGAAAAAAAAGTTATCCCCTTTCAAAGTTTCCCAAAATCCAAATCATAAGGTAGGTACCTTCTTACTAAAACGATGAAATTTCAAATTTTTTTTTGTCAAGATTTTGTATCCTAATGGTCAATCAACATACCCCAAACTCCATACACTAAATTATTCTCAGATTTGAAGCCGAAATCTATGAAAAAAGGCACTCAGAAAAATTGAAAAAATTAATAAAACACCCCAAATTGCTTAACACGATTTTATCTCAGGAACTATAAGTGCAAATGAGCTGAAATTTTTAGGGATTGTAGTCCCTTGATTGGGATAAAATTCAGTGAAAATTTCAGCTTTCTATTTATAATAGAAAAAAAGTTATCACCTTTCAAAGTTTCCCAAAATCCAAATCATAAGGTAGGTACCTTCTTACTAAAACGATGAAATTTCAATTTTTTTTTTGTCAAGATTTTGTATCCTAATGGTCAATCAACATACCCCAAACTCCATACACTAAATTATTCTCAGATTTGAAGCCGAAATCTATGAAAAAAGACACTCAGAAAAATTGAAAAATTGATAAATCACTCCAAATTGCTTAACACGATTTTATCTCAGGAACTATAAGTGCAAATGAGCTGAAATTTTTAGGGATTGTAGTCCCTTGATTGGGATAAAATTCAGTGAAAATTTCAGCTTTCTATTTATAATAGAAAAAAAGTTATCACCTTTCAAAGTTTCCCAAAATCCAAATCATAAGGTAGGTACCTTCTTACTAAAACGATGAAATTTCAATTTTTTTTTTTGTCAAGATTTTGTATCCCAATGGTCAATCAACATACCCCAAACTCCATACACTAAATTATTCTCAGATTTGAAGCCGAAATCTATGAAAAAAGACACTCAGAAAAATTGAAAAATTGATAAATCACTCCAAATTGCTTAACACGATTTTATCTCAGGAACTATAAGTGCAAATGAGCTGAAATTTTCAGGGATTGTAGTCCCTTGATTGGGATAAAATTCAGTGAAAATTTCAGCTTTCTATTTCTAATAGAAAAAAAAGTTATCCCCTTTCAAAGTTTCCCAAAATCCAAATCATAAGGTAGGTACCTTCTTACTAAAACGATGAAATTTCAATTTTTTTTTTGTCAAGATTTTGTATCCTAATGGTCAATCAACATACCCCAAACTCCATACACTAAATTATTCTCAGATTTGAAGCCGAAATCTATGAAAAAAGACACTCAGAAAAATTGAAAAATTGATAAATCACTCCAAATTGCTTAACACGATTTTATCTCAGGAACTATAAGTGCAAATGAGCTGAAATTTTTAGGGATTGTAGTCCCTTGATTGGGATAAAATTCAGTGAAAATTTCAGCTTTCTATTTATAATAGAAAAAAAGTTATCACCTTTCAAAGTTTCCCAAAATCCAAATCATAAGGTAGGTACCTTCTTACTAAAACGATGAAATTTCAATTTTTTTTTTTGTCAAGATTTTGTATCCCAATGGTCAATCAACATACCCCAAACTCCATACACTAAATTATTCTCAGATTTGAAGCCGAAATCTATGAAAAAAGACACTCAGAAAAATTGAAAAATTGATAAATCACTCCAAATTGCTTAACACGATTTTATCTCAGGAACTATAAGTGCAAATGAGCTGAAATTTTTAGGGATTGTAGTCCCTTGATTGGGATAAAATTCAGTGAAAATTTCAGCTTTCTATTTCTAATAGAAAAAAAAGTTATCACCTTTCAAAGTTTCCCAAAATCCAAATCATAAGGTAGGTACCTTCTTACTAAAACGATGAAATTTCAAATTTTTTTTTGTCGAGATTTTGTATCCTAATGGTCAATCAACATACCCCAAACTCCATACACTAAATTATTCTCAGATTTGAAGCCGAAATCTATGAAAAAAGACACTCAGAAAAATTGAAAAATTGATAAATCACTCCAAATTGCTTAACACGATTTTATCTCAGGAACTATAAGTGCAAATGAGCTGAAATTTTTAGGGATTGTAGTCCCTTGATTGGGATAAAATTCAGTGAAAATTTCAGCTTTCTATTTATAATAGAAAAAAAGTTATCACCTTTCAAAGTTTCCCAAAATCCAAATCATAAGGTAGGTACCTTCTTACTAAAACGATGAAATTTCAAATTTTTTTTTGTCGAGATTTTGTATCCTAATGGTCAATCAACATACCCCAAACTCCATACACTAAATTATTCTCAGATTTGAAGCCGAAATCTATGAAAAAAGACACTCAGAAAAATTGAAAAATTGATAAATCACTCCAAATTGCTTAACACGATTTTATCTCAGGAACTATAAGTGCAAATGAGCTGAAATTTTTAGGGATTGTAGTCCCTTGATTGGGATAAAATTCAGTGAAAATTTCAGCTTTCTATTTATAATAGAAAAAAAGTTATCACCTTTCAAAGTTTCCCAAAATCCAAATCATAAGGTAGGTACCTTCTTACTAAAACGATGAAATTTCAAATTTTTTTTTGTCGAGATTTTGTATCCTAATGGTCAATCAACATACCCCAAACTCCATACACTAAATTATTCTCAGATTTGAAGCCGAAATCTATGAAAAAAGACACTCAGAAAAATTGAAAAATTGATAAATCACACCAAATTGCTTAACACGATTTTATCTCAGGAACTATAAGTGCAAATGAGCTGAAATTTTTAGGGATTGTAGTCCCTTGATTGGGATAAAATTCAGTGAAAGTTTCAGCTTTCTATTTATAATAGAAAAAAAGTTATCACCTTTCAAAGTTTCCCAAAATCCAAATCATAAGGTAGGTACCTTCTTACTAAAATGATGAAATTTCAAATTTTTTTATGTTGAGATTTTGCGTTTATATGATCAGTTGGGACTTGCTAAACTCCATACACTAAATTATTCTGAGATTTAAAGCCGATATCCATCAAAAAAGGACGTCAGAGAATTGAAAAATTGATATTTATCATCTGAGTTATGCTTCAGGATTCAGGAACTTCAACCCATGGTTTTCCTGAATCTGAAGAATTTCTAGATAATTCTGGCTTTAAGAATGAGCTCATTATAAAAATTAAAGTTTTTTCATGAAAACTGGACCCTTCATCATCTACTTAATCTGTAAGTAGGTTCTTCTGATCCTGTAACTTTATGATTTACAATGAAAGAATTCGACAGTTTCTTTGGAGTATGATTGATGAAATATGAACAAATCTTACATTTCGAAGCTTTTTGTATTGTATAAGACTGCATTTTGATAATCTGAGCTATAGACTTCAAGGTATTTAGCTTTAAGATCCTGAAAGAAACAATATTACGTGGTATTGGAATTCTGAGCTCTAAAAAATCTCATAATATGAGAATTAATCTTTATCATCTGAATTGTGCTTGAAGATTTTCAACCCATAATAAAATCCAAGGATTTATTGAATCTGAGGAATTTCTAGAGAATTCTAGCTCTAAGAATGAGATCATCATAAAAACTTAGGTTTCTTCAAGAAAACTGTCTCGTTTAGTAAGCTGTACCCTCTTTATGATTTACAATGGAAAATAGAATTCATATTGCTACACCATTAAACTTTGTGTAATGATTTTCTACATTGACGTACCCTCTGGCTGAAGATAGAAAAAATAAGACTAATATTAATACACTCTGATACTTAAAACAAAATTAATTACATGCTCTTGTACTATCGACCATAACTTTACACACCAAAAGCCATTGATCTTGACCTTATATAAAAATGGAACGTGCTACAAGGTATTTCTTTAATAATACAATTTCCTTTAAAGTTAATTACCTGCTTTATGCGTAACACGAAATTCATTGACGTGAATTACCCGGAAAAAAATATTTAATTGATAAATAATTGCAGATTGATTTTCGAGTGTCGAACATTTAATAACTAGATGAAATTTATTATTAATAATTGATTCATAATTAATATGTACAAATTATGAATTAAGACCTTAAGAAACCCTTATATTTTTTGTAGCATTTAGCTAGTGGATGGTTTTGGGACTACAGCTACAAATGCCAACCTGTCGATTATTCAAACAGCGAAAAAGCAATGAGGGTTTGTACTTATTTCAAAAAAATTATAATCAAAATTATTGTGTTATAATATTTCTAGATGGCCAGATTATGTTGGATCTACTACATTTCAAAATTAACAGAATTTGCTGACACTGTCTTTTTCGTTATGAGAAAAAAAGATAGCCAAGTCACTTTTCTGCACGTCTATCATCATAGCTTGACCCCGATGGAAACTTGGATTTTGACCAGATTTATTGCAGGTAAGAACCTAATTAATTCAAGTTCACTTATATTTGTTTGATATGTCAAAATTATCTTAATTGCCTATGATGTGATTTTGTAATAATATGTTCAAAATAACCTTCAGCGAAGATCTACGCCTAGATTTATTGTGCCAAGGATTCATAAAATTATATATCATACCAAAAGGATATAGTCAAAATTTCCTGCTTTAATTGGTGTTTGTACACCTTCATATACGGATCATAAACCTCCAACAACTTTAGTGTTGCAAACGCTAAGGCTAGTAGATCTTTATGTTTCTATATACGTTGGAGAATTATTTAGGTTTGTACTTTCTAACGAGTTTTGCAATAACCACGTTGTTTAAATTAGATTTTTTTTTTCAAGTCTAAATGGTAAGCGTACACCAGACTTGTTTTGGCCTATCCTTTCCCCTGCATTTTCGCTTTCAGCTTTGGCTATGGCAATAGAGAATTGTTGCGTTAAACGTGAATAACTAAACATACTTGGTAGATAGTGCAGTAAAAATAAATTATGATCTGGACAAATGATTATTTTTGCATTATGCGATGTGGAGTGTCTTTTTTAATATATTCAAAATCCCTACAATCCTGGCCCAGGTCTTAAAAGGACCAATTAGTTGACCACACGAAATTATGTTCCTAAAATTCACTACTCCTTTTGTGGAACAATTAATTGTAGATTTTACTAATAAATGGTCCCCCACATGAACATCAAAAAGTTAGAACAATGAAACAGTTCATCAGAGACCGATCAGATAAATAAATGGGTATTTTCAGTCAGTGGTCGCATACAATTTTTGACTTGAATATCAATCCTCAGTAGCTACCATTCGTAAACTCATAACTGCAGATCATTAAGGATCATTTTCAATTCTACTTGAAAGTCTTACAGAAGCCCTGCCCATTTTTGCAGCAGTTGGGTATACTAAATACACAAAATCAGTTTACCTTCACTTACAGAACATGACTGAACTTCACAACATGCATCCTGAAATCTATATGCAGTTTCCAATAAAAGTGGTCATGTGATACGACGTACTGATAAAATATGGGCGGGATTGTCAGCAGATTTGGTAATTGAGTCAAAACAATTGTGGAAGTCTCACCAGAGGTAGTGCTATGTCCGTAATACCAAAATCACTTGAATTTTGTCAATGCTTGTGTATTCCGAATACAATAACTTAATGCAAAAGCAAACTATACTTGTCTAGCGAACAGCATAAAAATTTGGCGCAATTTCGAATGAAATGAGACATGGAGGATTCAGATAAGATACTTGAGCTACTGAGATCGATTCCCCAACTTTGCGAAACATTGTAACTGGTATCACAGCAGCTGATAAATTTAAAACCATTGGTATGGACATTGTGGAAAAGATGAAGGGCCAGGAGGTGTTTCCGTATAAAATGACAAGACAAAAACAATTTCTTTTGTATCATTCATTAAGTTCAAGAACAAGGAGGCTAGAGGCTACTATTGACCCAGCTCTGTTATTTCAGCGATTGACTATGACATCTTCTTCCAGTGAAATTGATCTTGCGAAAGTAATAAAATATAAAAGTATATAAACTATGCTCCTTCCCACCTTCGTTATTTGAAAGTTCAAAAGTATTGTTACAAGCCAAAACTCTCAAAAGCATTGATTGCGCATGTTACTTCAAATAATTCTTAGCCATTAGCAACAGCGGTAGAAGGTAAATCAAGTTATATGCTCAATAGAGGGTCAGAGTACATTCAGGGATATAGCAAGATATGCGTCGTTTGTAACAGCTAATTACTGATGGCTATACATCAGAATACACAATAAAAGACATTACCCATATAATCACCGAACAAATAGAATTTTTTCCCTCTGTGAACTTCACACCAGATATGACATTCACAGGAAGTGAAGAAATGTTTCTTACTAATAAGGAAAATAATAATTATTACTCTAATCGCTAAAGAAATACAACATGGATGTTCAGTAATGTATGCAAATTAAAAATACAACAGTGATAGAAGAAGACACTATTGGTAACAAGCTGTTGTTCAGAAGTGATAAAAAACCTTCCAAACAGAATAACATGTATGATATCGATACCATTAGATATTCGCTCGGAAATGACTTAACGAACAGTTTATTTTTTATACATTCATATACAGAATGCGACAGCACCTCTAGAATATTATTCCATATTGGAAAGCAATCCAGTTTTGACACAACTTGCTGTATCATTCAGCTCAACAAACCTTAATCCCAGTCAGGTTGAACAATTTGGAAAGAAGTACCTATGTATTTTTGGTGGAAATCCAGATGATAAACTTTATACACTTAGGTATAGAACTATTATTGATAAAGTATCGTTCCATTCAGTCATAGAACCTTCTCCCAACGATATAAACTGTCAAGTAATAAACTGCTGAGGTCTCAGTCCCTTGTTCTCTACGTTGTCTTCTTCACTCCCTTCTTCGCTTTCTTCTTCGTTGCCTTCCTCTGTCTCCTCTTCACTTAAAGGAAAAGTCTGGCTTAGACAAAGGTTTGAATAAAAGATATCTGGAGCGTTTTTCCCCTTTGCAAGAACTAGGTGATGTCTGTTTCTTCGATATGCCTGATTATTATCTGCCACAACCACATATTATGATCTAGGTTCTGGTTTCAGGTAGTCAACCCAACTCGAATTGCTATGCCATCATTCTCCAACAAACGGAGTTATTTACAAACCAACCACCATTCAAAAGATCATTGTACACTTTGTAGACGGGATCGATTTTGATCTGATGGTTGGAAATTGGTAGGTACTAATTTACGATGTGCTTGCGCGTCCATCCAGTTTAATAGTTTTACAGGATCTGGGAAAGAGCTTGCGTTCCAGGTAAACCACTGGCGTTTCGAGGTGTATTCAATGTTCAACCATAAAACATCCAAAGGGAAATCGTATTCTCTATCATTCACTGTGTTCTCTTGTTTTTCTTGTTGACGTACGTTAACTTGCCTCCCAGAGCCCTGCCTACGTTACCTTTCTATGACAGGTACAGGATGTTAAACAGACATCCATCATAACATAGTTCGAGGACCAGTTCGATAGCTATCTTTACGCCACAAAGTACCCATAGCCTTCGTACATATTTGCAAATTTGTATATGGAAACAAATGGAAGAAGGCTTGAACCCAATAGACTGGGGATGGAGTATACATGATAATATATATCTATATGTCTCTGTATCAAAAACAATGGCATGGAAAGTATATTACGCATAGTAAGAAGTGACTGCAAAACCGGATGTGGAGTGTCATGAAATGTAGTTGTCGGAAAAATGGTTTGGAATGTACCAGTTCATGTGGTCAGTATCAAGAAACAAATTGTGAAAATAGTCCGCAGCGAATAGAAGATGAAGAAATGGAAAGTACAGATGGAGATTATGGAAAATAACCCATACTTTTAATGTTTTTTTTTTCTTGTAAAATCTATGATGTCTAATGTGTGATGAGGTTTTCTCTAATGAATAATACAATTTGAATGATATATTATCTACCTTACCTATTTTAAACATTTTTGCCAAGTTACACCTTATAAATACAGAGTTATACCAAAATTTGTTACACCATGCATGGTTATACCGGGGAGTTAATCACTCCCCGAAATCGTATCACAAAGGACCCCGCAATATTTAAATGGGAATTGGTTACCCGTGATATTTGGATGAAATTTAAATATGTTATTGGGAATGCCGTAAGCAAAATTTTTTACCCTGGGCACAACCCTGTATATATGACAGGTGAGGCGTGGTTAGCTGTCAAATATTGGAATCTTATATCCAAAAGCAGAGTAACTATGGCAGATTTTGATGAACAAAAAATCTATTTCTACTCAGTCGACCAAGTTAAGCCGAAAAATGTCAACCATTTTGACATCTGTCAAAACCCTGCCAAACGGCAGCATTCATCTTTCCCAGTTTTCAATATTTTATGATGTTATTTGTCATTTTTAACTTGTATGTAAATTATGAATTCAAAAATTGAAAAAAAAAATGACAGAACTGTCAAAATGACATCATTGTAGATTTCATTTGTAAGTGCCAAAATGTTTGAGTACTTTAATGATTTCATTAAAGTACTCAAAAAAAATCGCCGGTATATAAAATCCTTTATACTAAAACTACGTATTTTAAAATGAAAATTGACATCTCTGTCAAAATCTGAAACCTGCGTGTAATGTTTTTTCATGCGTTATCATAAAAAAACCCAACTTAAATTGGAATAGAACTAGATTTGATTCTTTTTTGACTTAAAGCTATTGACAGATTCACACAGCTGTCAAAATGTGACGTGCATGAACTTTGTTCACTGTTTTATCACCAATAAACTACCCCAAATCGAGAAATAACCAAATTAGAGTATTTTTTTCTACTAAAACAAATGACAGGTTTTGACAGTTCTTTCTTTTTTTTTCAATTTTTGAATTCAGAATTTACATACAAGGTAACAATGTCAGATGACATCATAAAATATTGAAAACTGGAAAAGATGAGCGGTGCCGTTTGGCAGGGTTTTGACAGGTGTCAAAATGGTTGACATTTTTCGACTTAACTTGGTCAACTTGGTAGAAATAGATTTGTTGTTCATCAAAATCTGCCATAGTTACTCTGCTTTTGGATATAAGATTCCAATATTTGACAGCTAACCACGCCTCACCTGTCATATATACAGGGTTGTACCCAGGGTAAAAAATGTTGCTTACGGCATTCCCAATAACATATTTAAATTTCATCCAAATATCACGGGTAACCAATTTCCATTTAAATATTGCAGGGTCCTTTGTCCGAAATCCCCGAAATCTTTCCAAAATCCTACTGAAATCCTTCCGAAATTCACGAAATCACTCCGAAATCCGCCGAAATCCCTCAGAAATCTTTCCGCAGACCAAAAAATCCCTCGTTATTGGCCCAAAATTCATAAATCGGTCAATGCGGCCGTTTATACTAATACATTTTCGAATATACTTATAAGATAA